TACAGACCATGGGGTTGCAAAGAGTAGGCCACGACTGAGCACATCAGCAATTTAATAAAATCCAAATTCAAGAGGTTTTAGAATATCCAGAGTCTTTTGCAAGGACAAAAAACTGAACTCTATGATGGAGGAATCAGAGATATACCACTGTTAAGTTACTGATCAGTTTCAATATTACTACTGGTGGGTTAAACTTATGTTGTTACCATCTACTTAAGATGCAGCAATACCACCCATGATGTATTCTGTTGCAAAGTGCTTAACTTGAATCCATAGAGTCTATGGATGTGTGTTTGCTTTGTAGGAAATATAGGGGATAGAGAAATGGGCTAAATAACATCACAACAACTTATCACACAAATTGAGAGGCTGGGACTTTCTCTGAAACTACTGTCTCCTCAACAACTGTCTCTTCAACAAGGGACTTGGCTGGATAAAAACAGACTGAAGGGACACATCACACAGATGCAATGTGTGACCCTAAATTAGATCTGGTCTTAACATACCAGCTGAGAAACATTTTGGGGGGTCACAAATGAGAATATAGTCTGGTTATTAGATGAAATGGAAATTTTCTGAAATGGAAGGTTGGAGATCAATGACTAGACAAAGTGAATTATAAAGCTATATGTAAAATGTGATTTTGTACTCTCTGTACGATCTAGAAATGTATGCGTGGACACAGAAAAAGTCTACATTTTAATAGTGACCATTTTAGGCAGTAAGTATGTGATCATTTTATTTTTGTTTCTAGTATTTTCTAGATTTCTATAATAATGTACTGCTTCTATCATAATACAAAGACTAGCTTTAAAATATAAATTCTATGGAAAATTTATATGACTTTTTAAATATCAATTCATCATTATCTATCATAGAAAATTTATAAGACAGATACAGACTTGAGCAGAAGCCTAGGGAGACTGGAGATTTGTGTAAAAAAGGTCTCAACTTGAATTCTTTGACTATGTATAATGCTTTGATCTAATCAAGATATTTAGTATCTTCTGTGTCCTTCCACATACAAAATGTTTTAAAGTGCATTAAAAATACTGTCTTAACTTTTTCTCACTAGAGGTTATAACGACCCTTCTAATAATTATTAGATAGCTCAGTATAAAAGGCGTTTTGCTAAGTAGGCTCATAAAGCATAAAAGATTCTAGTTGCTTTTTCATTATAATCAGTTTCTTTTTCACCATGAAAGGTCAAGCTTAATGATTTTTAGGATTACCACTATATATGCAAATTGGATTCCTAGAAAACAAGCAGCCATTTTAGAAAGTACAGCGTCACACTCTGATTGCCTTAAAAGTGAGTCAACAAATAGTAATTAGAATTTTCACTAAGAGTACTCAGTTTCTCTTGAATATGACAATATATTAATACCAATTTCATATCATTTCTTTTTAAAATTCATCTTTAAGTTGTATCATTTGAGAACTGTTCACATTTTATTTATTTTCTTTTAACTGTTCACATTTTAAATTTAAGGCTGATCTTTAAAAAAAATTCAGCTATTTGAAAATAGCTGGCATATTTAACTATTATTTATTTAAAACAGAATTATTTCAACCTAGAGGCTAAAGTCTGAGTTTGAAACCCAACAATAGCTGTGTAATGTTGGGGAAGTTGCACAGTGTAACTAAGCCTCAGTCAGTTCTCTGAATCTATGACACGGAGAAAATGGTATTTACCTCACAAAGTTATAATGATTAGATGAGATTATGCTTAGAAACCTAGGTGCCTGTCACATAATAAGAGGTCAATAAATATCTACAAACATGATGGTGACTCATATAAACTTGACATGTTCTTCTTGTCCTATATATCCTAACAGTATCAATGCTACCGAAAATCTCCATATGGATGCCCCATTGGTATCCCAACCTTACCATCAATAGATATAGCAGAACTACTGCTCCTCTCCAGGGTCCCCATGTCAGCAAAGGGTATTATCATTAACCTAGTTATTCAAGACTTGAGCTAGGAGTCATTTTTATCCTTTTTAAAAAACAAACAAACAAACAAAACCTCCACCACTCTAATTCTCTTAGTTCTGTTTTCAATACATTTTTAATCCAAACACTTCTCACAGGTTTATCAACATCATGCCAGTCCAAGCCAGCATCATCTCTAGCCTGGAAAAGCAAAGACTCTAGATATAGCTTGCATTTTTCACACTTGTCCTCCTCACCCACCTTAGCCTATTTTCCACCCAGAAGGCAGAGTGAGTCTTTCAAATGTAAACTAGGTGATGTCACTTCCTTGCTTAAAGCCCTTCAAAGGCTTAAAAGCCTTGTTTAAAACCCTTCAATGGCTTCACCTCAAGCTAAGAACAAACTCTAGCCTCTTTTCCTTGCCCCAAGACCCCTCAATGAAGGGGTTTCTGCTTCCCTTCACTCCCAACACCTTTTCCTCACTCGTCCACTCCAGCCATCCTGGCCCCTTTTGCCTTGAACTGGCAAGCACCTTGAACTTGCCAAACACACCTCCAACTCTATACCTGTAGACTTGCCAGTCCTTCTGTATGAGTGATTTCTTCCCTGTTGGCAATAAAGCTTGCAGCTCACTTTTCTGCTCAAACATCAGGCTTTTCTGACCACATCGTCAAAAAAAAGCACCCCCACGGCTCTAGTTTATTTTTCTTCATGTCACTGTTACTACTACAATGTACTGCTATAAGCATTAATTTATATACATATTAAATATGTCCATATTACATACATATCACATACAGATAATATACATTGTTTATGGCTTGTCTCTCCAGCTAGTACAAAATACCACGGAGGTGAGGACTCTGTTTATGGCTGGATCCCCATTATCAAGAACAGTGCTTGGCACCTTGTAGGTATTAAAGAAGTACTTTTCAAGATCAGGGACTTCTCTGGTGGCTGAGATGGTACAGAATCTGCCTGCAATGCAGGAGACCTGGGTTTTATCTCTGGGTGGGGAAGACCCGCTGGAGAAGGGGATAGCACCCCACTCCAGTATTCTTGCCTGGAGAATCCCATGGACAGAGGAGCCTGGTGGGCTACAGTCCATGGGGTCACAAAGAATCAGACACGGTTGAGGGACTGACACTTTCACACTTCCTTTCAAGATTAACTTATCCTCATATTAAATTGGCTTGGGTTTAGCCAAATACTCCAATCACTAAAATAAGCAATAAACAAAACAAGCAAGCAGAGTTGTTACAAAGAATTAGTTCTTCTATATTCCATCTATTTTGCAGAATCCTTACAGATCTAAGTTTGAAAATAGGGCTCAGAATTTTGTTTTAAATTTTTATTCAGGAAAACTAACAGCAATCTAGCAGAAAAAAATCCTATTTCATCAGAGTGCTAGAAGAAAAAAACAATTTTTTTTAAAGCTTCTGTATTTAAAATAATTAAGTGCAACTAAGACCTGATGCAGTCAAGTAAGTAAATGTTTAGTAACTAATAGCTAAATATGCGGACTACAAAAATAGTTGCCTTAACCTACTACTATATGTCTAAACTACGACACACTATGAGCCACAGAAAATAATTTTATATTATCATCACTGAATTCAATCATTGCAAAGCAGAATATGAGTAAAATTCCAGCAGATAACTCTGTACTTACATCACTCTTTATCTTTTATTTTCAGATACTGGTGTTTTTGGACACAGGATTTTTGTCTATTTCATCTTTGCATCTTCTATAGTGTTAGCACAAGGATTGGGCTACTCAGTGGACAATTTCTGATTGAAAGGATGAATGATGCTGAGGGCCAGAGTTGGTAGTAAATATTATACAAATATAATAATAGTTAAATACTTGAAAAGTGAAAGTGTTGGTCACTCAGTTGGGTTTGCCTCTTTGTGACCCATTGTAGTCCTCTGTCCATGGAATTCTCCAGGCAAGAATCCTGGAGTGGGGAGCCATTCCTACTTGCAGATTTCCAAATGAGCCCAGTTAGTGTTTTTATATCATATCCTGTTAGATAATAAAAGTGGTTTCTGTGTATTCTATTTTGCTTCACAGTATTTATCACAATTGTCATAAAGCAATCATTTGCATGGTCATTTGCTTCACACCTGGCTTTTCCACTTTAAATTCCAAGGGGTTGAGAAGTGTACATTTAGGGACTTTCCTGGTGATCCAGAGGCTAAGAATCTGAGCTCCCAATGCAGGGGGCCTGGGTTTGATCCCAGGTCTGGGAACTAGATTCCACATGCTGCAACTGAGAATTCTGCAGGCTGCAACTAAAGACCCAGTGCAGCCAAATAAAGTAAAAACAAAAAAAAAGAAAAAAGAACTGTATGTTTATAGCTTTTCAGAGCCTTAGCATCTCATAATAGTAGGGGCTCAATAAATATATTTTAAATCAATGAAGTTAGGGCTGTGCTACTGGATCATTTGAAAATGCCTGGAGTCCCTTCCCAGCTAGTTTTCTGGATACTGACAGCTTTACAGAACTTCCTAGCTTATTTTTCAGTGGTTTTAGGGTGCACAGTGTTTCACATGCATCTTAAAATTTGTAGTATCTTAGTGCATACAAGGAGATCAAACCAGTCAATCCCAAAGGAAATCAACCCTGAATATTCATTGGAAGGCATGATGCTAAAGATCCAATACTTTGGAAACCTGATGTGAAGAGCCAACTCACTGGAAAAGACCCTGATGCTGGGAAACACTGAAGGCAGGTGGAGAAGGAGATGAAAGAAGATGAGATGGCTGGATAGCATCATCACTGACTCAATGGACATGAGTTCGAACAAACTCTGGGAGATGGTAAAGGACAGGGAGACCCAGTGTGCTGCAATACATGGGGTCGCAAAGGGTTGGACACGACTTAGCGACTGAACCACAACAACAAATCCTATGTTTGCAGCATTTGCAGCATTTCCCCCCCCTGAGAATTACATAAAATAACATTGTTTTAATAAATGACGGTATTTTAGATTCAAGGAGATAGGGTTATTGCTAACTCCACCTTGATGTGAAAAATATAAAAACTTCAAGTACTTACATCAATTAAATCTGAAAGATCATGAATATAATACTTGAAAACTGAGGCATTGGTTGCTTCAAGGGTTAGGAGATATTCATTCCGTGCCTTAATCGACTTAAGCTTGTTTTCCGAATATTTTGCTTGTCTCTGGAAATGAAGAAGATCCAGGAATTGGGATAAATAATAGTCATTTCGAAATCAGACAGGGAAACATACATGAATTTCTATTCATCTAAATGATTTATTCTACATATATAAATGACCTTCCAAGTCCTTTGAGAAAAGTACAATTTGAATCTGATTTAAATAAATGAAAATTGCCCAGCGATGGGGAATAGCAACAATGTATTTGGGCGTCAGGCCCATTTGCAATGAAATCTGTTTTGTTAATATTCAAAATTCTCTACATTGTGTACTAGATACTTGGCATTTACCACTAAACAATGTCCAGCTGTTATTACATGATTTTTATGTTTCTTAAACGTTTGTCATCCCCATGGGAGGAAATGCATGTCATTTCACAGTAATTTACAACGTGTGTCTATCAGCTGTTACATCACTGTTTCTAGGCTTGTCACCTCCAGGGAGGGCAGAAGGGCTCTACAGTCTAGTTTTACTCACTTTTTCCTTCATTTTTTCAATTTTTTTCACCGAGCTTCGCCGCTGATGTCTCTCTTCCAGTCTAATGTGGAAGACTGGATCACCAGACCTGCCAATTTGCTTCTCTTCTTGTTTCTCAGCCTCTTTCAGTTTGCTCTCTGCGCTGATGCTCTCGGCGTGATACATATGGTATGTTTTCATCACCTATGAAAATGCGACCCAAATTGTTAAAAGATGTTAGTCTGTAACTTAGGGAATGGAAACCATTATATGACGTGTATGTTAAAGATATCACCTTCCAGCTGGCAGAGGGAGAGCCAGATTGTTAGTAAAATAGATAACAGATATACTATTCCTTTTACATAAAGCAAACAGAAATATGCAATTCACCTGCCAGGAAGAGGCATTTAGGAACAGACTGTGATGAAAAAATGATTGACAGAGTCTTGTGTGTACTTTCAGTGTACTTAAAAAGTTCCCTTAAGCTTGAAAGTATTTCTCTAAAATCTCCTCTGAATTATTAATTTGCAGAATAAAGCATTACACACGGATAAATTTTAGCTAAACTTCGGAATTATGAAAAACTCCAAATAAGTATCAGTTCAGTTCAGTTCAGTTGCTCAGTCGTGTCCNAAACACACATATACACATACACACAGACACATACTCTTCTTCATTTTAAAATGACATATATCACTTCTCCTTCAAAAAAATCTGGATCATACTGTATAATTTTTAGTCTCCTACATCCTTTTCCTCTTAAAACTATCAACATTTCTCTATACCACAAAACATTCCTCTAAAAGAGCTGTATAATATTTCCTTATGCCAATTTTCTATTATTGAACATTTTAGAATATTTCACTTATTGCTTTTTATAAATAAAATTGTGTTTAAAACCCTTCATATATAGTGTATCTTATGTCTTCTCTTAGAAATGGTACATGTGATTTGCATTTTAATAGATATAGGAATATATAGGAGATGAAATTTTGTAATGTATCCTTCCCATGTATATTATAAATATATAATTAACCCTAATTTAAATTTTTTACTTAAAAAAAGTTTAAAGTTATGGTGATTCCAATGCAACTAATGTCTCAAGGAATATCTGAAAATTCAGCAACCAAGTAATCAGTGCGAGTACATTCTCAAAAATGATGTCAAATTCTCATCCACATAAAACAGACTTTATTTCATCTGTAAATAACTGTAAGTTATCCCGAGTTAACTTTATAACTAAGGTATAATTGTGTTCAAGAGATTGATATAATGTTTTAAAGTAAGGAACTTGATTTTTGTTTCAAATATGAGCTTTAAAATAGTTTGAGGGCTGAAAGCATCACTAGAATAAATATATTTATTTAGGTGGAACCCAATTTCTTTTTTTTCCATAGGTTACAAGTAAAAGGTAGAAAATCAGCACTTAGGGTTCAGCTTAATGCACATCCTCCAGATGACTATTTGAAGAGCAAAATTTGGGGTTAATGAGGAGCCTTTACTTGTTCTCATAAACTCTGATAAAATCTCATAAAATCATAAGCTAGCAAATTACGTCAAAGGCACTGCTGAACAAGAACAAAGTGTGGGTTAACCCACAAAGTCGGGGCAACTTTTCCCTGAGCTGGGTGTAACTACAAAGTTGTCTGTTTTTAGTTAATTATCAAATCTATCCGGAGAGGGGGAGTTTGGTTGGCTACTCCAGTTTGAAAGAAAAATAAGATAGCACTAGGAAGCAGCTGGGGAATGAAAAGGGAGTCACCCTGCAGCTGGGCAAACAGCAAGGTCAATGAATCTATTACAAATTTTTCACTTCCAAGGTTTATGAACTAAGGATCCCAAGCAGGCAGCTAGCATGGTGTTTGCTTAACTAGCCGGTGTTAAAAGGAAAATGTTTGAGTCTGAAAACACTACTAGCAAGAAGAGGGTGTAAATATCATAATGTGGTTCAGTACAATAGCTGAGGATTCTCCACCCAGTTCGATGGTAATTTCCAGAAAGGTAATCTCTTTGTTCCATCTTCCCAATTTGACTTAGGGTTTCCACTGTTCTCAAAACTGTCAACAGTTACAATGAATGAATTTTAAAAGTTGGGGAGAAAAACACTAAAAGCTTCTAGAGAACTCTACTTGCAGATAATGAATGCCAGTAAAAACTTCATTATTTAAAATGTAAGCTGTTGACAGAAGTTAAATGTGTTTTGTATTTAAAATAAAAGAGAGTTCTCTCTTTTTCAGAGAAGTAAAAGAAAGCGTTTGAATATATGCTGCAAAGAAAATAGCAGCTTCTCCATCAGCTTAATGCAAACACAAGCCGTTGCATACCAAGTAACACGGCAGGCATATATCCATTTAAATGTACTCCAATAGCATATTTCCCCATTTGAATACTTTTCTACCAAAACCTCATGCATAATACTCCATTGAAAATACTCAATTTATCTTTCCTGCAAGAAGACTATAGTCAAGTAGAAAGTGACCACATCATACATTTCTTTGTGAGACTGTGAAATCCTGCACAAAAATTTTGGACAGAAACTTAATATTTTTTTTTTTCCTTACTGACAGACCTGTACAATGGATCTGACATTGCTCTTGTACTTTAAATAAAAATAATTAAAATATCTGTAGTAAATATCAATATTCAGTGTAAAGAAATCATGATGTATCTGAAAACTATCCATGTGTTGGAGATGAATGGATTATGGGTATAAAATCTACTTTTTGACTTCTGGCTCAGAAGTTAGAAGACATGGTTCCTGGAATGGATCTACCAGGTGTGGGGTGTGGATAGTTATTTAACACTTCTGCTTACCTTACAAGGTCGTTGCAAATATCCAGTTGTATGTGGCCCCTGTGTGCGGGTACAATTGAAACCATACTGAGTATTTACTACATATGTATGTATATATTTATGTATACAATCTATGCCACTAATATATATGTGTACATATATGTAATATATATTTAGCTAAACAAGCATTATGTAATGCCTACGACGTGACACTGTTCTAAGCATTTTCCAAATAATAGCTTATTTAATCTTTCTGATGACATCACTGACTCAATGGACATGAGTCTGAGCAAACTCCGGGATATAGTGAAGGACAGGGAAGCCTGGTCTGCTGCAGTCCATGGGGTGGCAAAGAGTCAGACATGACTTAGCGACTAAACAACAATCCCTCTAAAAATGCTTATTAGGTACGTACCTTTATTCACCCCATATTACAAATGAGAAAAGTGAGGCACAGAGAGGTTATGTACTTTCCTCAAGGTCACACAGCTGGTAACTGGCAGAGCAACGGGTGGTACCCTAGCAGTCTGGCTCCAGATTCAGTGTTCTGGACTGCTGTGCCACAATCTCTGGAAAGTTGCAAGCACTGTGTAAAGAGAAGGTCTCTTTATCTGGGGGATATAGTTACTCCTGGTCATATTCAGAAATGGAGGAAAAGAAGGAATGAAAGATAAGTATTTATTCATTCCACNGTTGCAAGCACTGTGTAAACAGAAGGTCTCTTTATCTGGGGGATATAGTTACTCCTGGTCATATTCAGAAATGGAGGAAAAGAAGGAATGAAAGATAAGTATTTATTCATTCCACATTTGTAATGAAGACTTGGTGTCCAGGGTAGTGGATGGATAACTGAGTTGAAGAATAAGACTAGAGAAGTTAGCATGAACCAGATGAGAAGAGCCTTGATATCCCAACTACTTACGCAGTACAGAATTTATTCTGCAGGTGTTGGTGAATCTACAGAAATGTAAACAGTAGGGTCAAAGCAGTACCTTAGCACTAATCCAGTGAAGACAGACAGGATCGTTTAGGGTGTGAAGTGACTTCATTTAGCACGAAGAAGAGGGAGTGGAAAGGAGGAAAGAGAATTCAGAATGGCAGCTACAGGGCTTTTTCTCTGTTCTCACTCTCTCGGACCTTTGCTTAAACTTGACTTGACTCCCTGCACCATGGAGTTCAAATGCTCTTACACTCTGGCTCTAACAAGTGATCTGGAACACTAAGAGTGATCTAACAAGTGATCAAGGAACACAAGTGATCTGAGTCGATCACTTAACTTCTGCCTCAGAATACTTCCCTGCCTCTGTGGCCTTTCCGTCAGACAACCCAACCTTACTGCCTGGAATGCCCTTCCCCAGCATCCCTTCCCGGTACCATTCTGACTCATCCTCCAAGTCAAGGTCAAAGGTCAACCTACTGCTGAGTGTTCCCTGGTTTCCCAGTCAAAGTGGTCTTGTTCTTCTGACCTCAGAGACCTACTTCCTGACACCACCTGAGAATCGGCCAATGTGTTACAGATGTTTGTGTACCATTCGGTAGTATCATGGATTGTCCTGTAAATTCAGTGAACCCACTAAAAGGATCTTGCGTGCTAAGTCACTTTAGTTGTGTCTGACTCTTTTCGACCTTATATACCGTAGCCCGCCAGGCCCCTCCTTCCATGGGATTCTCCAGGCAAGAATACTGCAGTGGGCTGCCATTCGCTTCCTGGGGATTTTCCTGATGCAGGGATACAATCCGCGTCTCTGAGTCTTCTGCACTGGCAGGTGGGTCCTTTACCACCAGCACCATCTAGGAAGCCCCAGGTATCCTAGGCACCTCCAGGTTCTTAATACTACCTTACATGCAGGAGGAATAAAATACGGATCTGGTGAGAAACAAACAAAGGACAGGAATCCTTTTGTATTCAGCTTTGGGCTTCCCTGGTGGCTCAGAGGTTAAAGCGTCTGCCTGCAATGCGGGAGACCTGAGTTCAATCCCTGGGTCGGGAAGATCCCCTGGAGGAGGAAATGGCAACCCATTCCGGTATTCTTGCCTGGAGAATCCCAAGGATGGAGGAGCCTGGTGGGCTACAGTCCATGGGGTCGCAAAGAGTCAGACACGACTGAGCGATATATGGGTATATGGGTCTATTCATTTAACAAAAACTATGTGACTGGCATTGTTCCCCTCCATCCCTGGTATTCAAAACAGTGCCACCAGTAAATACCCAGGACTGGACTGATGGGATAGCAAATAGTTCTAAATCATTTGTGAAATACACTTAGCATTAGAATTTACAGCATCTCAAAAAAAAAAAAAAGATGTCGTGGTTGGGGTGGGGGATGCTGGTGAAAAAAAGTATGTTAGTGACAGTGTTTCCTAATTCCATACATGTGTGTGCATGCTCAGTCACTCCCATGTCTGACTCT